CAGCCATCAGCGCTCTCCCAGCACCACTAGACACATGCCCTCGCTCACTAGTCTCCACCTCCCGATGCAGAGTGTACAGAGAGGGGTTGTGAAGTCTTGTCTTCCACATAGGCCGCATCACGTCTGGATTCCGTCAGCTGGATTTTGCTGACCTCTGGCGGCTCTTGGATTAAACAGCCGCTCACTCCAAGCAGCCTGCTCAACTCAGTGTTTTCTGGTGATGATTTATCGGTTCAATCATCGGTCCTCCAAGCTCTTCCCGGTGACCCAGGCAACCCACTGTCTCCCCCCAACCCAATCATTTCCCATTCACAGCATGAATCCTGTTTCAACCCCACCATCATTGTAGGTGAGGAGAGTTGGAAAAGGCGACCCCACCCCCCACGTGAATATTTCTGAATCCGCCCAATGGGTCACTGGATTGTGATCCGAAGGGCACTTCTTGCTGTGGCTACCTCTGCAGTGTGGCTTTCTAGTGCCAACCCAGGAGTGAAAGACGACAGCACAAGTCCTGTTTTTCCAATAAGGCCTGTGTTCCAGCAGAAAGGGGCCAGGCCTCTGGCAAGACCTCCACACAGAAGTGGGTTTTTTTTCACTGCCTGGATCCTTTCTCTGTCCGGGGGGGTGTTCTCCATCTCTCTCAGCTTGAGTGATGGGAACGTGGGTCAATCTTCCACCCCCAAAAGGAACGAGAGATCCCTTCTTTCTAATCTGGGAATCTGCCACTGGTAGCCACTGCCTAGCACATATCATGTAGCTGGCAACTTAAAATCTGGTTAATTAGCTAATCAATAACACACGGGCATTGCTGGAGCTGCCCCACATGAATACAGCTGAATACTTGGCCACAGTTGTGGCATTCAGAAAAAAAGACCTGACTAAACTTGCATGTGCTAAAAAGCTGGGCTTATTTTGTGCCATGGAGGATGAAGAGTGAGAAATGCATAATTCTACAACACTTTGTATTGATTTTTTGTCAAAGAAAATATTTATAACACTTCAACTGTGATGGTCGTAGGCCCGTGACAGCTGTGTGACCACAATTATTACCCACTGTAACAACTGAGTTTACAAATTTATCCTAATTGTGAGCTGTGATGGATAGGAGGAGAGGTGGCCAGGATTCGGTAACTAAAGGGCTAAACTCAGGTAGCTGGGGGGTGTTGGCAGGTAGCCAGGTGAGCCAATGAGAGAGGATGCTGAAATCTGAATTGAGAAGATATACCTGCCTGCTGTTTTCTTCGTGGGAGTTTTAAGCCAGGAGTTGGGGAAACAACGATTAACGGGTCCGCTTTTCTTGTTTACAAGCATGATCTTAATACAGTCCATGAGTCAGGAGTAGGGGAAGTGTGTGGGGGGAGGGGCATGAGGGGGTGGTTGACAAAGGCTTTCCTTGTCAACCGATCCGCGTCTTGACTTGCGCGCTGTGCCGACGATCAGCTGAGCCGGCACAGTGCGGTGGCCATTTTTATTTTAATGAAGCCGGGGATATTTAAATCCCTGCTTCATTGACTATGTCGGGGAGCCCATTTTACATGCCTCTCTTGGCACAGGCATGTAGTCTAGACATACCCTAAGAGTGTGTCTACACAGCAGGGCTTAACTCAAAATAAGCTATTGAGCTCTGTCAGTTGAATATCTTATTTCAAAATTGGGAGCGTATACACAGCACTTATTTTGAAACAGAGCATTCTTCCTCTCGCTTCCCTTACTCCTTGTACAATGAGGGTTACAGAAGTTGGAGTAAGTAGCTCTCCAGCTTGACGGTATTTCGACATTATTTTGAAATAACTGCCGGCTATGTAGACGCGGCTGTTATTTCGAAATAATGTTGCTGTGTAGACGTACCCAACAGAGCACCCACAGCGAGGTTCTGTGTTTCCGCTGGGGGTGCACATTCGCACATGCCTCGGCGCACGTAACAAAATGTATTCCGCACGTGGCTGGCAAAGATTAAGCGAGAACGTTTTCCGGGATTGTCCTGGAGTCGCCAGGCGTTCGAGATCGTGTCTCAGGAGGAAACGGCTGGGAGCACGTCCACCCCACCTGGCAACTGGGGTGTGGGGAGCTGGGGGGCAGGTGGGGATCCCTGCAGGGAGAATGGAGGGCCTGGCATGGGGGGCAGGCCAGGAGGAGGAGGGCAGGCCCAGGGGGGGATGGGGCCATGGCCTGGGTGGGGGCCAGGTCTAGGCCCAGGCGTGGCTCTTGCTCATCCCTGGCTGATGCAGGGGCCCAGCGGGTCCCCTGGCAACGGAGCCGGCTCGGTTGCTAGGGGGCGGGGCCAGTCGGGCGCACGCGCGCTTCCCACTTCC